GGTGCCTTAGTCCTCTGATGTGAACGTTTTCTCTTTAAAATAATCTAGTTTTCCCTAAAACTTGTCTTGTGTATAATTCCTTAGCCATGTCTTCCAAAATCCTGCTAAAAAGGAAGAGAAGAAACATCGCAGTGACTTCAAAAACTCTTCCATGTGTGGTGACATTCACTGCAGGCTAAAAGGACCGGTGTTTGGTGAATCTTGTGACTCACTGTATCTGCAATGACTGGGCCTAACTGCTTTGGATGAAAGCCTGGCCTTACTAAAATCAGTGGCATTGACTTCACCCAGAATTTCACCCTATAAGTCACTGTGGCTTGGCAGGTCTCTGGGCAAGCACCTGAAAGCTTCCTTGCCCTTTTATTGGTGTGCCACATAATTATGACAAGAAGTTGGCACCCTGAATGAACATATCAGAGGCACCAGGAGGTAAATGAAACACTGTATTAGTACCACCCACTTTGACACCAATCTATTGAGTCATACAAGGGTAAATACCAGTTCAGAATATGGAAAACAGCTCTACCCAAAAGGAAATTCTACCCAAAAAGAAAGCAGGCAGAATTTAAAAATACAGGCGAGTCGCATCATACGTGCATTTAACTTACACAAATTCAACTACACACGCTCGGCAAAAAAAAAAGAAAAATAACAAGATACTTATAAAAAGTGTGGGCCGATTCCACCCACCATTCCACTCAATGAGCATATGCCCCGAGTGAGCATGAGATGGGAGACGTGAATCCGCTGTTCCCGCAGTCGGTTTCAGTTCCCGCATGCCTCTCATAGTGTGAGCATCTCGCCGCGCTGAGTGCGATTCTAGTGTTTAAAGATAACGTATTTTCCATACAACATGGCCGCCAAACACAAGCCAACTACTTCATCTGGTGCTCAACCAAAGAAACAGTGATCTGTTCCAATGCTGGAGGAAAAACTGGCTATGTTGGACTTATTGAGAGACAGTATGTCAGTCTCCAAAGTGGCATGTAAATATGGCTGCAATGAATCTAGCATCCGTGCCATGAAGATTCAAGAGAGAGAAATTCGTCAAGACGTGGCATCAAGTGTTCCAATAACTGCTAAAGTGACGAGCCAGGTGCGTGATAAGACTTTAGTGAAGACTGAAAAGGCATTAAACTTATGGCTGGAAGACATGAACCGTAAACATGTGCCTATCAATGGCAACATGTGTCAAGAAAAGGCTCTTAGCCTCTATGCACTGTTCAAACCTCCCGCTGAAGAGGGACAGCCTTCTGATGAGAAGGAATTCAAAGCCAGCTAAGGTTGGCTTAACAGTTTTAGGAACTGCTTCAACCTCAAAAACGTGCAGACTACTGGTGAAGCTGCATCTGCCAATGAAGAATGATTTAATTTCTGAATACGATCCCTCTATGGAATGAAGTCTCAAAATCACACATAGTATTACGGATGATTTGAGACCGTATCAAGAAATGTTTGAGCAGCTCAAGAGACAACAGCAACAATTGCCCATCACCCTGTTTTTCAAGGAAAAACAACCAGCAGCAGATGAGCCTACACAATCAACTTCTCGAGCTGAACCAGAGCCAACCGCTTTGTCTACAACTCGCTTTCCATCACCCAAGCTATGTACTCTTTTTTTATATACTGTACATTACTGTATACATTAATACATATTACTGTGCAGGGTTGTATACACAAAACCATGTACAGTATACTGTACTTTATGGGCGATTTAAGGGATTTTCAAGGGTAATTTTGACTATATGCAATTTTAGCCTTACACACTGACTTCAGAACCTAACCCCCACATAAGACGCAACTCCACTGTAGGATCTGTTTTGGCTTGGAGATGACTTGGCACTAAGGTTCAGATGGTCTTTGGTGGCTGGGATGCAAGAGCATGCAGACACACACAGCTACAAATATTTTCTGTCTTCAAGAGGTTCAGCAGAAGCTAGGGTTCCTGTTGTATGATGGTGAGCACCTTTTGAGGGAGAAGTTAAGAGCTTCAAAGTGACAGAGACAAAAGCCACCCTTCATTCCCTCACGTCTGTCATCTAGTCCTTTCACCAAAAGCCACTAGCCAACCTAGACCTCTGGAGTCAGGACACTCATGTTCAGGGTGTTCATCATCCCTTTCAGATAATCCAAAAGGGCCTCCTAAATCCCTAATTCCAAGAAACAAAAACCTCTTGCGTTTTAAAGGGTAAAGAATTAATAGTCAGTTGGTATCCAGTTTCGAGGGTGTCTCTCATGGAGGAAAATAGGAAGCTTTTTATCCCAGATGGTCCCTAGTCACCTTGGATAAATAGTCCCTCAGCTTTACCAAGGAAGGCTACAGAATTCAGTTAAAAGAAATTCCACCAAATTCACCATCTGAGCTATGTTCAAGAGTGCCTCTGAGATCAACATGCATTTGACATGCATCTGACGAAGGGGTATTCACCCACGAAAGCTCATGCTCCAATACGTCTGTTAGTCTATAAGGTGCTACAGGACTCTTTGCGACTTTTACAGATCCAGACTAACACGGCTACCCCTCTGATATTTGAGATCAACAAAATCAATAAGAAATTTCAGGAAATCCAATCCCTCCTGGAAAAGAAAGGCATCAAGTCTATGGATATGTATTTCCTGATCCTTAAAAAAAATGAGAGGGCTGAGGCCTATCATGGTGGACAGACAGCTCAATTTCCATGTGGCAAAAGAAAATTCTCAGTGTCTGTAAGGATAATCATACATTTTTTTTCTGTTTGTTTTGTTCTGTTTTTTGGAAGAGAGTGACTTGATATATGCAGTTTGGACCTCGCAGATGCTTGTATGCTGAAATGACTGAATTTCATTCAAAACTACCTGAAGGTGCAACTTGTGTATCTGAAACAAGTACAGGATATAGAAGCCCTGCCAGGCCTGACTCCTGAGCAGGTAGAGACTAGAGGAAGAGGTTTGGTATCACCTAGCTGAAGGTGGGAGACAGGAAGTTAGACAGACATCCCCAGAAAACAAAAGGCATTGCCTCTCCCCTCTGTAGATTCAAATTGGGTCAAGGGTCATCAGGGTGACGAAATAGGTGTTGGTTGGCTTTGGGTTAGTTTGTGTGGCTCTGTGGGGATGGAAGCCTGAGGGGTCCATGTCTAGCCCATGAGAGGGGAGCTATGGGATGTGGGCAAAAGGGTTACAAGAAGTATGGGGGTCAACTGGAGGAGAAAGGGGGTGGGGCAGCCAGATGCAGGGGTCGGGGTCAGGGGCAGGGCAGAGTGTTGTGCTAGTAGATTGGGGGCAGCCAGGGAGCACGGAGTTATTTGGGGATTAGAAATCTGAGGAGGGTACTGGGGTCAGCAAGGGAGTTGGCACAGTGGGGTGGGACAGGGGGGAACGGGGAAGAAGAGCAGGGGAGCTGGCTCAGTTGATTGGGTTTGAGACCAGAAAGTGGAGGCTCTTTCTGTTCTCTGCTCCACTGGCTACTAGGATGCTCTGTCCTATCACCATCCCTGGGGCTGCTGCCTATAAAATAACTCCTTGCTTAACATTGTAGTTATGGTCCTGAAAAATGCTACTGTAAGCAAAATGATGTTAAGCAAATCCAATTTCCTCATAAGAATTAATGTAATTAATGTTGGGGGGTGGGTGGGTTAGGTTCCAGGGAAATTTTTTTCACCAGACAAAAGACATTTATATATGGAGTCAGAGGGTGGAAGAGGGTGTGATATTTCCCAGGGAATGCCTTGCTGCTAAATGATGAACTAGCACTCGGCTGAGCCCTCAAGGGTTAACACATTATTGTTAATGTAGCCTCACGCTCTACAAAGCAGCAGTAATGGAGGGAGGGAGACACAATAGATGCATGGCTGTGGCTGCAAACATTCCCTGCGAAACTGAACAGTGATGATGAACCCACGCTATCCCACTGAAGCACACCACTCCCTCCACAGACATACACATACCCATCTGTGTGTATGTGTGTGTGTGAGAGAGAGAGAAAGAGAGACACACACGGTGTGTGTGAGAGATAGAGACACACATTGCCCCTTTAAGTATGCTGACCCCACTCTAAGTACATTGCCTTTTTAAGTAGATCAACAAGTTGAGATACCAGCTGCTGCCAGCAAGCTGCCTCTGTCCTGAGCCCTGTCCTGTCCCCACCTGCTCTGTGGAGATGAGGTGTAGGAACGTGGGGGGGTTGGGGACACCCTGACATCAGCACCCCTCTTCCCCACCTGCACAGCAAGCAGGAGGCTCCCAGGAGCAGCACAGGGGAGTGGGGGGAGGGACAGCTGAACTGCCAGGCAATTGATAGCCTGCTGGGCAGCTGCCACACAGGGAACTTACAGGAGCTGATGGGGGGCTGCCAGTCCACGCTGGTTCTAAGCCCCCACCAGCTCGAGCCAACTAGCTGCTCTTCCTGCAAGCAATGGACAAAGCGGGCAGCTGCCAAACACTGATATAAGACAGCATTGCACAACTTTAAACTAGCATGTTCTGTAATTGATCAGCCACATAACAAGTTAACCAGGACCACATTAAGTAGGAGTTACTGTACCTCCTGCCTCCCTGCCCCTTGTGACAGGACTTCCCCCTTTCCACTCTCCAAACTTGCTCCCTCTCAGTCTACCAGCAGGGGCTGAATTGCAGACTGCAAAGCAACAGGGGACCTGGCCTTTCGAGCAGGGCAACGACTCTAGGCCCAGGTTCTGGCCCGTAGCTGCCCCCCGCCCACTAGGTATAAAGGTTGCGGGGGAAGGGCTGGGGGAGTGCACGCAACAGGCAGGTTCCTGCACGTGTAGCTGGGCTCGTTCCTCCCTCGCATAGCCTCTGCCTCTTCCTCCTCCCGCCCAGCCACGATCCCAGGGTGGAGGGGCGCTCGCGCTTCACCCTTCCAGCTGCCACTTTCTGCCAGGAGCCGGTCTCCGACAGTCCCCCCTCCCCCCGACTTCCCACTGTCTCGGGCTCTTTCCCCTCACTGGGGCTGGCGCTAGTTCTGCCCCCAGGCCGCCTCTGCCGGGTACTTCGGGACTGACCGCTCTGCTGCTTCCCAGGCGCAGGTGAAGATGTCCAGGAAGCCGGGCGGCTTTTTGCAGGAGGCTTCTCACCAGATCACGGCCGGTGGCTCAGCGGGTAAGTCAGACATTTTCCTCGCAAGCACTCTGCGCTCCCTGCTCTCTCATTATTATGTATTGGAGGGTGTGATTCAGTTCACCAACATTTCCTGACTCTGGCTAGTCGTGGGCACAACCTCCCCTGGTGTGTGCGCTGCGAAGCCGAGCCTGGGCATCTGAAAACCCACTCTGCGCCTCCTCCCCCCACCCCAAATGTGTCCTGGCCCTGGAGTCCAAAAAGCCTTGATCAAGTGCCCAGTCTCATCCCACTCGCTGGCTGTGGGCTGCTCCTCCCCCTGTGTGTGCCTGCAGCCAGTTGCACTGACTAAAGGAGGCGAGGTGACAGCCTGCTCTTTGGTTCCCTGCTTCAACAGTTCCCCTGTCTGGGAAGTTTAAACCAGCCCCCTTGGCGTTCTGATGCAGCTCTCTTAACCCAGAAGAACCGACTCGGTTTCCTCTCCTTTGATTTTACAAACAAACTGCATGGGGGTAGAAATTAGCATGTGTCGTTCTCCTGTCCGTGTCTGTTGCAATATATAGCAGTGGACTGTAGGTTGCTGGTAAAATACAGTAACTCCTCACTTAATGTCCTCCTAGTTCGGCAGCCGCCTGCTTTGTCCACTGCTTGCAGGAAGAGCAGCCCATTGCAGCTAGCTGGTGGGGTCATGAAACCACGGTGGACCGGCAGTCCCCCTATCAGCTCCCCTAAGTTCCCTGTGTGGCAGCTGCCCAGCAGGCTATCAATTGCTGGCAGTTCAGCTGTCCCTCCCCGCACTGCTGTGTGCTGCTCCTGCCCTCTGCCTTGGAGCTGCTGGTGGGAGCCTCCTGCTTGCTGTGCAGGGGGGGGGGAGGGGTGCTGATGTCAGGGTGTCCCCCTCTACCCGCTTCTGCTTCTTGCTCCTGTACCCAATCTCCCCAGACCAGGGGGGACACTATAGGGCTCAGGATACAGGGAGTTTGCTGGCAGCAGCTTCTGTTGCAACTTGCTGATCTACTTAAAAAGGCAATGTACTTAGTGTGGTTAGCATACATAAAGGGGCAATGTGCATGTGTATGTCTGTCTCTCACACACATGCATCCCCAGGCACTTTGGAAAGTGGAGGGAGTGGTGCGCTCCAGTGGGATAACATGAGTTCATCATCACATTCAGTTTCCACAGGGAATGTTTGCAGCCACTGCCATGCGTCTATTGTGTCTTCTCTAGGGTGACCAGATAGCAAATGTGAACAATTGGGACGTGGTGGGGGGTAATAGGAGCCTATATAAGAAAAAGACCCAAAAATCAGGACTGTCCCTATAAAATCAAGACATCTGGTCACCCTAGTCTTCTCCCTCTATTACTGCTGCCTTGTAGAGTGTGAGGCTACATTAACAGTTCATTATTTAGCAGCAAGGCATTCCCTGGGAAATATCCTACCCTCTGATTCCACCACCTCAACCCAGCTTCACAATCATCATTGCTGTGTACAGTATTAAATTGTTTGTTTAAAACTTATAGTGTGTGTGTGTGTATGTATAGATACTAAAAAAAAAATCTTTTGTCTGGCAAAAACAATTTCCCTAGCACCTAACCCACCCATTTACATTAACTCCTATGGGGGAAATTGGATTCACTTAACATCATTTTGCTTAAAGTAGCATTTTTCAGGAACATAACTACAACACTAAGCGAGGAATTACAGTATTCTGTCTGAGGCCCCAAAAGCTATGTTTACAATAGTGTTACAACAGTATTTTAGGCCATTATGGAACAATTGTGAAATATTTAAAACATAGGAATGGCCATACTGGTTCAGACCAGTGGTCCATCGCCTTCCAACAATGGCTGATGCCAGAACGAACAGAAGAGGGCAATTTGTGGAGTGATCCATCCCCTGTCCTCCAGTTCCAATTTCTGGAACTCTGAGGTTTTGAGGACTCTGCTGTACTTTGGACTAAGCTTGGATATAGTGCACCATGATTATGTTTGAAAGGCTGCTAAGATTTAGATCGGTTTACTGTTTAACTATAATGGTGCTACTGGCCCACTGTAGTCTCTTCTAACAAGTGACTGCTTTATCTTTTCCTTGCAGAAGCATGGACTTAATTTAATATCTTTTTTCCATATTTGCATACTATGATCGTCTATAAGTCCTTATTGAAGTGTTCATACCATGTAGAAAGCAGTGTTAAACTTCAGAAACTTATTTTATGTAGCATTTTTTAGCACATTTGATATTATTAAGTTAAAATAGATGCTGGATTGTTGTTACTGATCTAGAATATTATGACACATTGTTAATAGCACTTGAAGTTATGTAGTTCAGGGTTTACAATTCTGAAATATTAATAGTAAAAATTGCACTGCACTGAAACTGTAACTACTCTATTTAAAATGGAAGTACACTGTACTACTCTTTGTACTTTAGCAGTAATCTTTAAAATCAGATATACTGTTGCATCTCCAGGAAGAAATTAAAGTAACATCTTACACTTTTCTGACATAAATATAGCATTAAACTAACAAAATCAACCTATAATAATCAATAACATTATTTTTAAAAATTTACCGATCACTAATTCATTAGATTATTCAAACTGTAAACTTTAAATATCACAAATTTATGATATTCAGTTTTTGCATTTAATTCAGCTTGGACAATGACAGTATTTCTAGTTTCTGATTGTCATGTAGTAGAATATTTCAGTGTTTGGGTTGCAAATAGTGCAGTCATGTCTAAAGAAAATATTACTTTTTTTAGTTAGATTATTTAAATCATGTAAGTATTTTAATTAGGTGGTCTAAAATATTTTTTTTTTATTAGACCTAAACTAGTAGACAGTATCTTTTTTTGGCTTAAAATGCTTAATCTGTCATTGAAGTACTATAGTCTGTTACTGTAGTTTTCAAACTTTTTTTTCTGATGACCCAATTGAGGAAAATTGTTGATGCCTGCAACCTAATGGAGCTGGGGATGAGGGGCGTGGGAGGGGTTCAGGGCTGGGGCAGAGGGTTGGGGTGAGGGCAGTGGGGTTGGGGATGAAGAGTTTGGGGTGCAGGAGGGGGTTTGGGGGGGCTCAGGGCTGGGGCAGGAGGTTGGGGTGTGTGGTGGTCTGGGCTCTCGGCTGGGGGTGAGGACTGTGGGATTGGGGATGAAGGGTTTGGGGTGCAGGGAGAGCGCTGGGTTTGGGGGGCTCAGGACTGGGGCAGGAGGTTGGGATTGGGGCATGGGCTTACCTCAGCCGACTCCTGGTCAGCAGTGCAGCAGGGGTGCTAAGGCAGGCTTCCTGTCTGTCCTGGCACCGTGGTCTGCGCTGTGCCCCTGAAGCGGCCAGTAGCAGATTCAGCTCCTAGGCGGAGGCACACAAGTGGTTCCATGTGGTTCTCCTCCACAGGCACACACCCCCACCCCCACAACCCAGCTCCCCTAGGAGTCAGACCAACTGCTGGCCACTTCTGGGGCACAGCACAGTGTCAGAACAGGTAGGAACTAGCCTGCCTTAGCCGGGCAGCACCACCGGCGGGACTTTTAGTGGCCTGGTCGGCAGTGCTGACTAGAGCCGCTGCTACCCAGTGCTTTACATTCCATGACCCGCAGTTGGAAACCACTGGTCTATTAGGCCCTGATATAGTACAGTATATAAATGTTTAATTTCAAATCCCACAATATACAGTATAAATATGACAAATATAAATAAATCAAACGGAGTCAAAAACAAAACCACGTACACACAACAAACATCAGTTAGTCTGGAATAGCAGATTTTCCCTCGCAGATCATTATCCAAATATAATGGATTTTTCTTTTCCTGACTATCACACTTTTTTCTTTAGTTTTTGTTTTTAATCTTTGCTAAAGCAGATAACACTCATTTACCATCCTTGATTTGAAAAAAATAAATACATGCAGTGTTCCTTAGATAGAATTAATAGTTTGGCAGAAAAATAATAAAGCTATGTCATTCCTAGAGTTATGAGATGCACTTTACCACCAGAAACATGAGTAAATATCTAACCTTAAATTACTGGCTGAGGACCGAGGCCCCCTACTCAGCCAAGGCCTTAGATAATTTTTCCAGCTGTTCTACCTCCGTCTATCCCCCCTACGCCACCCCTTGAAGGCAACCCTGACTCCTTTGTGGACACCTCATACCTGAAAAATGTAATCTAATTGGGCAGAACATTGTGAAAAGAAAACAACCTGATTTAAACTAAATATGCAGTTTGGCAAGTGACGAGTTGCGGAGTGTGTGTGTGTGTCAGAGTTGGGTGTGTGGAAAGTAGGGCATAAGTATCCACAAATATCTGAAGGGTATAAATAGGGCCCTACCAAATTCACAGCCATGAAAAACACATCACAGACTGTGAAATCTGGTCTTTTGTATGCTTTTACTCTATACAGATTTCACGGGGGAGACCACCATTTCTCAAATTGGGGGTCCTGACCCAAAAGGGAGTTGCAGTGGGGTTGCAAGGTTATTTTAGGGGCAGTCATGGTATTGCTACCCTTACTTCTGCATTGCCTTCAGAGCTGGGTGGCCGGAGAGCAGCAGCTGTGAAGGCAGTGCCCTGTGAGCAGCAGCACAGAAGAAAGCATAGCAATAGCTTACCATGCCACCCTTAGTTCTGCGCTGCTGCCTTCATGGTTGGGTGGCCGGAGAGTGATGGCTGCTGACTGAGGGCCCGGCTCTGCAGGCAGCAGCTGCAGGCAGCAGCACAGAAGTAAGGGTAGCGGTACCACAACCCCCTCCTACAATAACCTGGCAACCCCCACCACCACTCTGCCCACACACAGCTCTTGTTTGCTTCAGGATCCCTACAATTACACCACCATGAACTTTCAGTTTTAAATAACTGAAATCATGAAATTTATTATTTTAAAAATCCTCTGACCATGAAATCGAGCAAAATGGACCATGAATTTGGTAGGGCCCTTGTATAAACTTCAAGGTGACAGAATATTGTCAGCGTGGTACAAGGGGGTATAACTAGGACCTACAGGATGCAATTAGGGAGAGGAAAACCCTTTTGTTGGGATCTAAAACTAG